CTGCCCGCTGGAGGCGCCCTGGGGCGGCCCCCACTGGAAGCCCCTGCCGGGCATCCACAGCGTGCCGAAAGCCTACAGTACAGAGAACTCCAGCTATGGCAGCTTGAAGCCGACGCTGGTGTGAGCGGGCCGGGCCAGCCCCACCCCGGACACGCCCCCTGGGCCGCGGGGCGGAGCCGAGCTCCGGATCTCCGCTCACTAACAGGAATCCGCACCAGGCCTGAGTCGCACTCATTACCTCTATCGGCAATGTGGGGGCGGGACTAGTCCAGACACGCCCACTCGGCTGCGGCATCGCGGAGAGGGGACTAAGTCCAGATGTCCTTGGAGGCTGTGGCCCTGCGGGCAGGACACGCACCCTGAGGGCGTATTAAATGAGTTAAATCACTTGAACCACACCCATTTCCGGGGACCCCTCCGGGCATCCTGGCTTGAGGGTGTGGTGGGCAGAGGTCCCTAAGGCTGAGGTGGGGGTCTGGCTGAATCCCTGGTTGGGGGGCATCTGGGTCAAGTGGCTTCCCTGGCAGCACGGTCACGGTAAGGACTGTGGCACAGGAATACATCAAGTGGAGGAGGGTTGAGGCTTCAGTCCAGCATCTTTCTCGGGTCACGGCCTCCTCCTGGCTCCCAAGACAACTCCATAGGCAGAGGCAGGCCTTTCTACCCCCTACTCCTGTGCCTCCAACGCCGACTAGACCCTAGCACTCCATGGATGAGTCTCTGAGGTCACTTCACCGTGGTCTCTGCCTCATCCCTGGCGCTGGACCACTGAGGGGAGAGGGCTGGGGTGCTCTGCTGAGCCACTCTTGTGCCTCCCTGGCCTTGTGCACCTCTCGCCCCCGGGGGGATTAGTGTCCAGGTTACCCCAGCATCCTACCACCTCCTGGTGGCCTTGCCGCCCCCACAACCCCGAAGTATAAAGCCAGGTACACGAGGCAGGGGACGCACCAAGGATGGAGATGCTCCAGGTAAGACTGCAGGGCCCCTGGGCACCTTCCACCTCCTTCCAGGCCATCACTGGCATGAGAAGGGGCAGACGCGTGTGAGCCGTGGAAGGAGGCCACTTTCTGGAGGGGCGTGACCCCCAGTAAGCTTCAGGTGGGGCAATCCCTGAGGGTGGGTTTCTGAAATGTTGGGGTATCTCAGGTCCTCTGGGCTGTGGGGTGGGCTCTGAAAGGCAGGTGTCTGGGCGGTGGGTCCTGACTAGGAGATGCCGGGAAGGGCCTCTGGGTCACTGCACGTGGTGTACCCCGGGGAATGGGAGGGCCAGGGCACGGGGCTGTGGTCTCAGACTGGGCTGAAGCAGTGTCCTTGTCCCAGGGGCTGCTGCTGGGGCTGCTGCTGAGCATGGGCGGGGCACAGGCATCCAGGGAGCCGCTGCGGCCACTGTGCCGCCCCATCAATGCCACCTTGGCTGCCGAGAAGGAGGCCTGTCCCGTGTGCATCACCGTCAACACCACCATCTGTGCCGGCTACTGCCCCACCATGGTGAGCTGCCCCGGGCCAGAGGCAGGTGCTGCCACCTCAGGGCCGGGTCACAGAGGCAGCGGGGGAGGAAGGGCGGTCTGCCTGTCTGGTCGGGGGCTGGGGAATGGGGTGTGGGAGGGCGGGAACAGAGGGCTTCCTGGACTCCTGAGTCTGGGACCTTTGGAGGCAGCTTGGGAGGTCAGCGGAGGCGCTGGCCCCAGGCACATGCTCACTCCCCTATCCACACATCCTCCAGATGCGGGTGCTGCAGGCGGCCCTGCCGCCCCTGCCCCAGGTGGTGTGCACCTACCGCGAGGTGCGCTTCGACTCCATCCAGCTCCCTGGCTGCCTGCCTGGCGTGGACCCCATGGTCTCCTTCCCTGTGGCTCTCAGCTGTCGCTGTGGACCCTGCCACCGCAGCACCTCTGACTGTGGGGGTCCCAAGGACCACCCTTTGACTTGTGACCACCCCCAACTCCCAGGCCTCCTCTTCCTCTAAAGACCCTCCCCCTAGCCCTCCAAGTCCATCCTGACTCCTGGAGCCAGCAGACACCCCGTTCCTCCCGCAATAAAGGCTTCTCAGTGCGCACTCTGGAGGTGTCTTTCTGTGGGCTCAGGGCAACCACACACAGAGTGGGTGCAGCTTCAAACCATTTTATACAAAGTCACAGTGTCAGAACTCTGGTAGAAAACAGGGTGGGGACAGGGGATGACATCCAGCTCAGGAGGTGTCCATGGTCTCGCCTTCTGTGGGGAGAAGGAAGGCCACATGGTCAGTGTGGCCCAGGGGGCTTCTAGGCCGAGCTCCCTCTTCCTCCCCGAGGTTGGCTCTGGCAGTGCAGGTGCAGGGTAGGGATTCTTACTGAGTTCATTGAAGAGGAAGGCGTCCTGGTACTCCTTCATGTACTGCGTGGAGCGGGACTCGTCCAGGAAGAGTGAGTAGACCCGCTTGATGTCATCCACCTGCACTTCTGTACCCTGGAGGGGGAGGGCGGGTCCTGAGTTGGGCCCCTCTCTGTGAGGCTCACCGACACAGACCCCAGCATATGCCACCTCCATGCTCTAGGTAGCAGAGGGTGGCATGTGAGGGGAGGGCATTCTGGGCCAGATCGTCTGGGTTCAAAACCTGCCTGGCCATCTCCTGGTTGTGGGCCCAGCCTCTTCATTCCTCAGTTTCTTTATCTGTAAGGTGGACCTAACAGCATCTACTTACAGTCAACAGAGATTTACTGAGCACCTACTGTAGGCCAGGCGGGGAGATACAGAAGACAACTTGAGGGATGAAAATTCCCTGCCTCTGAAAATGTACATCCTAGGTTGAAATTGGAACCCTGGCAGCCCCTGAAGTAGTGCGTCACTCACTGCCACCATCTGGCCCTGCTGGCTAATTCGGCCGGCTGACCTTGCGTTTCCGGCACACCAGACTTGCAGCCGTGATGAGCTGGATGGCGTAGCGCAGTGACGTCTCCAGCCCGATGCGGGTCAGCACCGTGTAGGCGTCCTCACTCATCTCCACATCTTCCTCCTCGCACCTGCAAGCAGTGGGGGACGGGGGTGGCTCAGCCAGGGCCCAGCCTCTGACTGCAGCAGAAGTGGCCACAGCAACCCTCTGGTCCTTCCCCACTGGGAATATGTGGCGCCTGCATCTTAGAACCATAGAATGCTGAGGCTAGAAGAGCCACGGAGACAGGGGCTGGGCTGGACCTAAAACCTAGGCCTCCTGACCACACCCAGGGCGCTGGCCCCCACACCAGTCACGGGTACCTCGCCTCCCTTTCCCACCACGGCTCCTGCTCCCGGATCGGCGGCCACTGTCTGGGTGCCAGATCAGCCCTCTCTCTTGCAGGCCCAGCCACCATGCCAGTCCGCCAGACCTCAATGTCAGCATTTGTCAAACAGGGTAGACCCCAGCCCCGCCTCCCAGGCGCACAGTCTGGTCCTGCCCGCACCGGATGCGGAGGATCTGCTTCGTGTCTTTCTCGCTGTAGGGGGTGGTGGAGACGATAAGCAGCCGGTCCAGCAGGTCTATGGGGATGCCGTGGGGGCTCTGGTAGCTGGTGCCCCGGATTCTGAGGAAGAGGCAGAAAGAGGGGGCTGTCAGGGGGATGTTCCCTTTTCATTCCCTTTGCTGGGAGCACTCCCACCTCCCATCACCACCCACTCAGTGGGCCCAACACCACTTAACCTTTAGCTCATGTCTCCTGTCACACGATGACATCACCCCCTGATGACGCAGCCTTCCACAACTGTGTCAGTCCCCCAAGGACACCTTTCCGCAGAGCTGGGCTGCTTTAAGCTAGCTCTCTGCCTCCAGGATTACTGGATCAAGGTCCCACTCCCGTGCTCGACATGAAGCTTCACAAAGGAGGGGACAGAACCTGTCTTGTTCCCTGTTACAGCCCGGCCAGCCCAGGGCTGGTGCCAGGGTATACAGTCAATTCCCCTTATTCACCACAGTGAGGTTCTAGAAAGTCACCGTGAACACTCCAATTAGCCGATCCTGAGCCACTGCTCCTAGTGGAATACAGGGTTAGGCTCTCTTGAGCCTTTACTCACAGTATTTTCGTCAATCAATATATATATAATCTGGGTCTATGTGTGTTTTCATTTGTGTGTTTCTGTTATGTTTTTTAAGACGGAGTCTTGCTCTGTTGCGAGGCTGGAGTGCAGTGGCATGACCTCGGCTCACTGCAACCTCCGCCTCCCAAGTTCAACCGATCCTCCTGCCTCAGTCTCCCAAGTAGCTGGGTCTACAGGCGCACGTCACTATGCCCAGCTAATTTTTTCTATTTTTAATAGACACGGGGTTTCATCATGTTGGCTGGGATGGTCTCGTCGTTCTCTTGACCTCGTGATCTGCCCACCTCAGCCTCCCAAAGTGCTGGGATTACAGGAGTGAGCTACTGCGCCTGGCCTCATTTATGTGTGTTTCTATTTTCATGTGTTTATGTAATATCACTGTTTATTCTCTAACATGGAGCTCATGTCAACAGCATTCTAACTTGGGCTCAGCGAAGCGTCTGTAACACGGTATTTCCTGCGTCCAGCATCACAGCCTCCTTGCACTTAGAATACCAGACAGCACTTCAGCACTGTACACAGGGGACATTTCAAACGGCAATATCACCAACAAATGGCCCCAAAAAGTTTTTTTTTTTAAAAGGCACAAAAATGTGACAATACTTTGGGAGGCTGAGGCAGGCGGATTGCTTGAGCCCAGGAGTTGTAGGCCAACCTGGGCAACATGGCAAAACCCCATCTCTACAAAAAAATACAAAAGTAAAAAATAAAAAATAAGAAATAAAAAAAATAAAATTAGGCCGGACGCGGTGGCTCACCCCTGTAATTCCAACACTTTGGGAGGCCAAGGTGGGCAGATCACGAGGTCAGGAGTTCGAGACCAGCCTGGCCAATATGGTGAAACCCCGTCTCTACTAAAAATACCAAAATTAGCCAGGCATGGTGGGGGGTGTCTGCAATCCCAGCTACTCGGGAGACTGAGGCAGGAGAACTGCTTGAACCCGGGAGGCAGAGCTTGCAGTGAGCCAAGATCGTGCCACTGCACTCCAGCCTGGCAAGAGAGCTAGACTCCGCCTCAAAACAAAAACAAAAATTAGCTAGGCATAGTGGTGCACGCCCATGGTCCCAGCTGATGAGGAGGCTGAGGCCAGAGGATTGATTGAGCCCCAGGGGTGGTGTGTGTGTGTGTGTGTGTATGTGTGTGTGGCAGGCACTGAGGCTGCAGTGAGCCATGATCATGCCTCTGTACTCCAGCCTGGGCAACAGAGCAAGACCCTGTCTCAAAAAACGAAAGTGAAAACGTAGCACTAAATAGAATACAACAAGGACACTTATTTATAGCATGAGCTAAAGGAAGCAGCCAGTGTTGCCTCATTCACACTCAGCTAGGAAAGTGGGTGTCAGGTGACTCGAATTTGTGGTCAAAAGCAGGACAGATATTTACTTGCGGATTACAAATAAATCTTAGCAAGCGAGGAGATTCTCAGATACAGAGTCTACGAACAACCAGGGCTGCTGGTAGCTGCTGCCTCCCACAGGAGGTGCCCCTGGGCAGTCCCCAGGCCCTGACCTGCGGTTTCTGTGAAAACACCATCAGCCCTGGGGGTCTCTTCCAGTGTCCAGCCACCGAGAGACCAAATTCGGGCTCTGCCACTTTCTAGACTTGTGACCTGGGCAAGTCACTGGGCCTCACTGTCCTGCCCTGTAAAATGGCACTGAGGTGATATCTACCTTCTGAGCTTCTTCTGCAGATCCAAGGAGTTAAAAGAGCCAACAGAGCCAGGCACAGCGGCCCACCATCCTCTGTAGGATGCCTGCTTCATCCCTTTTGTGGTGCCCACCCCAACCGCCCAGTTTCAGCTGGGCCCACAGCTGCAGTCCCCAGCCTTCTTTGCCACCAGGTACGGCCCTGAGCCTGAGCAGCACCGGGCAATGGGATGTGGGTACAAGGGTGGGGTGCAGCCTGTGGATCACAGCCTATGGGGGCTGCCTGCCCTCCACATCCCCTGCTTCCTGTGGGCCAAAATGTGGCGAGGTGGAGAAGACAGCCAGCAGGCATGGTGGCGGGTGCCCATAATCCCAGCTACATAGGGTGCTGGCAACACCTGGGAGACGAGGTTCCCAGGCTTCAGCACAGCACAATACCCTCTGTGTCACAGGAATCTGTCCCCGGCATCCTCAGACCAAACACAACACTAAGAGTTCCCCACGCACACGGTGCTGGCAACACCTGGGAGACGAGGTCCCCAGGCTTCAGCAGAGCATGGTACCCTCCGTGTCATGGGAATCTGTCCCTGGCATCCTCAGGCCAAACACAACAGTAAGAGGTCTGTGAATGAAGTTGTTGGGTCGAAGGGACTGAACAGTCGTAGTTTATGTCGTGTCTAACAGATGTCACTGTGCTTCCCTCAAGATTAGAAAACATCCCACAGCACTCCTGTGAGTTTCCTGCAGCGCCCTGGGGCGCTTCGCACGCAGTTTGAAAACTGCAGCCTTGGGGGCCAAAGGAGTAGCAAGACAGAAAAGCAGCAAGAACAGTCTCTGGGCTTCCTCGGGGAGCAGAGCTGCCTCCCACCCGCCTTTTGTAAGGGAAGAGCGCACACCGCAGTCACGGGTCCCTCCCTGATCAGGTGTCAACACAGGCTCCCTGTGGACCCTCTGACCACATCCACTGCCCGGAGCATCCCGTTTTCCCCAGAGGCCCCTGCAGCTGGCTCACCGCGTGATGCCACGGTTGGTGGCCATGATCAGGACGGGCGCCATGTCACTCTCCAGGGCCCGGTTGAGGAAGGAAAAGCTCTCGATGTCCAGCATGTGGACCTCATCAATGAACAGCACCTGGGATTGGGGTGTGTGTGAGAGTCGCCACCCACGTCCCTGCTTCCCCAGCCCACCCCCACCCCGCCACCTGCCCCGGCCATGTCCCGGGTCCTCACTCCAGGGATGATCTCCGCCTTGCCCTCCTCGCGCCACTCTGCCACCTTGGCATTGATCTGCTCGCGGACTTCTGACTTGATCTCCCCTGTGTCACCTATGTGAGGCACAGGTTGCATCAGGGAAGTCAGAGAGGAGGTGGGTTCCAGGGCCAGAGTGTGACTAAGACAGAGGAGGATGATGCAGGGGTGGAGGAAGGGGAGCAAAGCCAGGAGGGAGGAGGAGACTGAAACATCCCCAGAGAGGATGAACAGAGGCAGAGAACACAGGATGGGGAGAGGGCAGGGCGACACCCCCATCACAGCACCAGCGGTGGGGGGACGAAGCGGACTTGCAGGTGGAGAACAGAGGCAGCCATGGGCCAGAGTTACAGGAAACGGTGTGGAGCAAGTGGGCCACACTCGGAGCTCAGGAACAGAGGGAGCCCGAAGGAGGCTGCCAGGCCTGGGGCAGGGCAGGGCAGGAGGGGCCTCACCTGAGAAGAGCGCCAGGAAGCCCTGGGTGCGGGAGTTGATGACATCGATCTCGTGCAGGGACACGGTGTGCACCACCTCCTTGCGTTTCTGGAGCTCCCCATCCGGGCACTGCACAAACTTGGTCTATGGGGCGGGGGTGGGAGAAGAAGGGAGGAGACAGGGCAGGGAAGGCCATGAAGGGGGGCCCTAAAGGCCTCTGTCTGGGGGAGATTGGAGCTCCAGGAAATGGAGCTGGGAGGCTAAATGGGGTCATCCGGAAACCCCAGGCCCAGGAGGTAGTCAGGACTAGGGGTGTTCCAGAGAGCTAAGGGTCATGGGGGCTCCTGGAGGACCTCAGAAGCCACAGGCCACATGTGGTGATGTGAAGCTACAGTGCCAGGCTGAGGGACCCAGCTGTCCTAGGGTTACAGGGAAGACCCAGGAGTACCAGGACAAAAAGTCAGGGTGACAGGAAGATCCAGACCCCATGGGTCCCGGGGGTGATGGAGGAGATGACAACACCCCAGCGCTGGGGGCGAGGGGATCGCAGGAGTCCCGGCCGCACCTGGGAGCCCATAGCGTCGTAGTCACGGGCGCGTGTGAAGGAGCGGCCCAGCTTCGAGATCTTGCCTGTCGCCTTGTCGATGGTGATCACATCCCTACAGGGGGTGGGGGGTGGGGTAAGGAAAGGAATGGGCCCAAGCTCGCCCATTCCCCTGGCTGCCTGGCATGGCCCCTGACTGCTCACCCAGCCTGGACCTTGTCCTTGGTCAGGGACTCAATCATCTTGGTGCCCAGGTCGTAGATGGTCTCCATCTCTGTGGTCTTGAGGGTCAGTTTGCCCACCTTGGAGCCCTGAGAGTGGGGACAAGCCAGGAAAGGGGATCAGAGAGGGCCCTGATGTTGCCCCAGTGCCCCCAGTGTTGATAAGCTTCTGGCTGTGCTCTGGCCTCTGCTTACACAGCTTCAAAATGGGCACGACACAAGGAAGCTCTTCAGGGAACAGATATGGTGTGCTCACCAGTCTGACGTGGTGACGGCTCCGCGGGTGAACATGTATGTCCCAATCGACCATACTGGACACTTGGAATGTGTGCAGCTTTTTGTATGTCAATTAAAACTCAATAAAGCTTTTTTTTTTTTTTTTT